TTAAAATTCCAAGAATTTTTAACATTTCCAAGAATTTTAAAAAATTCCGAGAATTTAAAATATCAAATCATAATGGCATAAACATTACATCCGGCACCAAGATGGCCGCAACGATAGATTCCCCTCACCCTTCAGAGCACGGTCTTCAGAGCCAACGTTCCGCAACCATAAAAGTACTTTGCGCTCCGTTCAGATAATGGCTGCGTTCTGCAGGAAGAGCTGCTCTGCAACTTGATCCTGCCATAATTAAGAGCATACGTCAATCAGATTCAAGAGTTTTACACTGGCTGCAAAGCAGCTGTTTCTGCTGAACGCAGCCATTTTCTATGTCCATGATTAAATTGATAACGCATCGGTAACGATGCACTCGACCTTCGATGACACGATGGGAAAACGTAACCGATATAACCGCACCGCCTCCCTCCTCGCCGATCCTTTTCCTCGGTAGCGTCACTCGGTGTGTCTTTATACGGAACGGAACACGTCAAATGCCCCCGGAAAGAGACGGAGAGGAGTGACGCTCCGAGTTGACGTTGCGAGACTGCGCGTGCAGTTCGCGATCGCCCGAGATACTTTTTGTTCGCTTTTGCGCCGTTCGATGTGTGGACTCGTAAACGAGAAAATGAACGCGCAGGAGGTAGTGGAGGAGCTGACGCAGGTCTGCATTCAGCTGCGCTTCCACCTGGACGACTTGACGGATCGGAGGGAGAGGGAAACGTTGATCCTCAAGCACATCAAGCGGTTTGAAAACAGCGGGGCGGAGGTTCACGATTTCCCAAAAGGTACTACCTGAACCCCCGAGAAAGTTCCCTTCCTTACGCTCCACTTTGCGTCCACTCCTCTTAGAAAGGGACAAAGCCGCTCACTTTTAGTATTTTCACTACACTGTAAGATACAGAATTGACCCCCTAGCTCATTATAGAAATAACTGGACAGCTGATATGCTGTAGAAAAGTGGCTAGTATGAATGTACATGCTACGATACCTCACAATGCTTTCACGAATTAGAAACGAATGGTTGATTATCTGCCGCTGAGAAATGATTGTTGATGCTGCACAGGCTTGGAGTGGTTTAACGTGTCTGAGGGACTGTCGTTGGCGCAGCATCTCAAGGGAAAAATCGTGCTCCTGGACTTTTTTACGTACTGCTGCATCAATTGCATGCACGTTCTGGCCGAGCTGGAAGAGGTCGAGAAGAAAGTCTCCGTAGAGGACGGTCTTGTGGTTGTGAGTATAACATTCTGCTACGAGAATGTGGCCCGCGAGAGATAAGATTGTATCTGATGACTAATTTACTTTTCCGCCCAGATCGGAGTTCACAGCGCAAAATTTACAAACGAGCGCAGTTCGAAGAACGTCTTATCCGCTGTACAGAGATACAACATCGTGCATCCTGTGGTAAATGACGTAACGTTAAGAATGTGGCACGACATGGGGATAACATGCTGGCCTAGTCTGATAATGTTAGGTACGAAACAATCTGTAAACTCTTGCCTAGTAGCACAGTCCGTTTGGCTAAACATTGGCCCAATACAACTAAATATTGGGCCAATGTTTAACCAGTGTTCGGTCAATGCACTGTGCTGCCACCCAGATAGCCAAATGCTATAAGTTTGCTGATCTATTGCCAAAATCCTTGAAACAAGTAATTGTAACAAACTTGGAACGAGATGAGGCAGCATTATGTCTCTCAAGTTGAACTCATATCAATTTGAATTCCAATAACGACAAGTTGTTTGCAACGTGTCAGCATCGTAATGTTTGTTTCGTCAACTAATTGTATGGATAAGTAGTCACGTTGCTAGCTGTATACTTGGCTATCTGGGGTTTGGCTCTTTACATTTATGCTACTTGCGAGAATTTGCTATTGTCACAGCTCTCTAAATCTATTTCAGGACCCAGTGGCCAACCGCTGGCTGTTTTCGTCGGCGAGGATCACAAAGATGAAATACTATTGTATACAAAAGTGGCGATAGAATATTTTAAATCTTTAAATCAAATGTCGAGTCACAATCTTCCGCTGCAGCCAGCGCACCATCTTTTGCCGTCTTCTAAAGATGGCCTGTTGTTTCCCGGCAAGCTGACAGTCCTACAGTTGGAGCACGGGACGAAGCTAGTCATATCCGATAGCGGTAACAATAGAATTGTAATTACAAATGAGCACGGGAGAACGGAGCACGTTATAGGTGGATGCAGCCAAGGTTTTAAAGACGGCGATTTCAGAAATGCTAGGTTCAATTCACCTCAGGGGGTCTGCGTGCTCGATAACATAATCTACGTTGCGGACAATAATAACCATGCTATTAGGAAAGTAAGGGGAGAATGTTTCATTATTACAGTTTGCATTACAGTTTGCTGTATCTATTCGCAATGTTCGTCATGCTTCAGATAGACCTGACTGAAAAAGTCGTATCTACCATAGCCGGTACTGGTTCACAAGGTTGCGATCGAAAGGGTGGAGGACACGGCACTGATCAAGCTCTATCGTCCCCTTGGGACGTGGCAATTTATCATCACGAGTACAAAGGCACCGCGGTGCCCGTCTTGTTAATCGCCATAGCGGGTACCCATCAGATCTGGGCACTGTTCTTAGAAGACACCGTTTGGTGGAAAGAAAAGTAAGACATTTACGTAGTCAATACGTCTCATTCGCGTTGTTACGTATTTTTAAACGTAATTTTTCAACGTTTAATTTAACCATTTCGGCTGTTTATAGTTTATACAGCTAAGGAAAATATATGCAAATTAAATGGAGCTTCCTTCTGCTTGGAAATTAATTAATGTTCATTGATAATAATGGTATCCTCTGTATTTATGGAACCTCTGTGTATTTTAGAAAGTACACGGCGGGCACATGCGCTGCTATTGTCGGCAGTGGCCGGGAGGAAAATCGCAACAATAATTATCCACACGCCGCGGGACTGGCACAACCCTCTGGCATCGCGGTCGTTCAGGAATGTAAAGTTGCATTTTTCGCGGACAGCGAAAGCAGTGCTATCAGACGGTTGCATTTAGATAGCGGTCAAGTATCTGCCGTTTGCGGCGGGGATAAAAATCCAGCGGTTCGTCCGACAACAAATATTTTTCATTTATTTTCTCGCTTTACGTTCGCGCGCATGAATGAGATTCAGCGTGTCAGCTTTACTCAGCATGTTTAGTATGCGGACAAGCGTCAGCTTTCGTTTGAATAACAGAACCAATATAGAACGATAATATTTATCTTGTCAGAATTTTTTAAATTTATTTCGCATTGTAGAACCTGCATGCTTTTGGCGATGTAGACGGAAAAGGAAGTTCCGCGAAACTTCAACATCCGTTGGGAGTAACGTGGAACCATTTGGACAAACGAGTTTATGTGGCCGACACTTACAATCATAAAATTAAAAGCATAGATGCTGCGACGGGACATTGCAAGACGTTGTTTGGCGACGGAAAACCCGATCGTACATTTACCGTAAGTTTCGTTGTTGTTTTTTTTTTGGAAATGTAATATGAAAAATGCTATGTTACTTTAACTATAAAAATAACCTTTTAGTTTAATGAACCGAGTGGACTTGCCGTCAGTCCAGATGGTAACATTCTTTACGTAGCAGATACCAATAATCACGCTCTTAAGATTATTGATTTAAAAAACGAGAAGATTTCAACCGTAAGTATATTTAAAAAAAAACTTTGTTTTGTTAGAAATCAAAATGTGACTTTAAAAGAGTTATCAATTATATAACTTTATAAGTTTTAATTAAAATTATCATTTTATTTAGAGTCTTTTCCACGAGATGTGGAAAATAAAACACCAGTGTAAATTTCCTTAAATTTCTTTTTCAGATGGCTATCATATCTAGACGCGATTCAAATAGAAATATCGACAGTGTGTTTGCTTTCGATACAGCAGTAAATTCACGCGGTGGAGAACTAAATGTTTCATTTAATATCGTATTTGCGAACGATTTGAAATTAAATGTAGACGCGCCGCAAGAGTGGCAGGTGTCTTTGCCTGCAAGTACGTGGACGGCGAAATCTTCGACAGGTAGACTTTCAACTCCGATATCGGTGAAACTTCCCGAGGAAGAAACACGCAGTCAATTGCGCGTTACATTAAACATAATGGCTTGCACGGCGGACACGTGTGTACCACTAAAACTCTCTGTATTGTTCAACGTACAACGAAGAGCAGATGCGCCGACAGTTGTGACCGAAGAGAAAGAACTCGTCATTGGTTAGGAAATGCGTTCCACGCTTTCAACTTGCGTCGAAAAAGTGTAAACGCATACATTGCGTAATGTATATTTTTGAGATATTAAATTTTGGAAATTTGTATTTAATACAAGTGCGTTTATAACAAATAATGGTTATATATATATTGCTATATATATTCTATGAAATTTTGATATATTACTTTTACTTATATTTAATCGCTTCAATCCTTGATATTCACATTTCTTCTATGAATCTTTAGTCTTTTTCAGGCATAATTGTGCTTTATCCATCATGTCAGCAGGCGAATGTCTGGCAAATTTTGTCAATCTTAAACAATGCATTAGGACAAAGAATTGATTATGATATTCCATCAAATAATATTAATAATATTTTATTTTATTTTAAATTGTACTTTAAAGCATTTGTATAATATTTATGTGGCTTTATTTTTTAAAAGTACTTTTCAACATTTTGTATCATTTGTTATAATTAAAAGAGGGAAATTAAAGTGTGATCAACCTATGTTTATGCGAAACTTTACTCCCCAGTAAGAGATGATTCAAAGAATAATTTCTCGCTGGGTCTTGTTTCAAATAAATGTTGCCACAACTGGCTTCTTATACACCGATATACCTTTGCCACCAATTTTCCGCTTCGTCGTCTTGCGGTAACGTTGCAAAATCCGCCGCTCCCGATTGCCAATATTCGCGCAACCATTCTTGATGACCAGTCGGCTCTGACCAGCCTTTTCGACAATTTTTCTCTATCCACGCGCTTTCTATCGCGGTTGGAATCTTGAGTATCTTTATCGAATTTAAATATCGCGCATCCTACATTACTTATCAAGAACAAATATATATATGTATATATATCTTTTATGTCTTTATCTCGCTATCGAGAAGTGTTTTTACTTTTTTACAATTATGATACGACGTTACACAATTGCTGTCCGGGTCGAATATCCCAGCACCGGTGTCGTAGCAAAACGGAGGAATAATTTTCGTTGGCTGATCGTTAGTTTTCAGCACTTTTCCGGCTGGCCTCAGGCCGTTCACGACGCACTTGTAATATCTGAAATTTTATTAATTGTTTACATGTTTTGTATCTTATTTTAAATTGTACTTCAAAATATTCGTATAACATTTATGTGGCTGTATCTTTCACGAGAGCACGCCCACACAGAGAAAACGATTTCTTTGGATTTAATAAATTTTGTCGTATCCAAACAAACTCGAAATTTGGAATGGTCGAAACAAATCAATGTTTGAATTAATAAGTACGATTGTTTGAATTTGAAATAATATATATCTTTGTCAGAAAAAAATTTTTGCTTCAAACAAAAGGAATATTCTCTTTAATCTAAACGATTTTGCCGTTTCATTCAAACAACATTATCGTTTGATAGAAAATATGTGAAAAAATGTAATATGCATACATCTTTCTCCCTCTACTCTCTAAAATTTGTGGAGTGAAAATACTGCCATGGAGTGAAATGTTCACCCTATTGGCGTGAATATTTCCTCCACCAGAGTGAATATTAACTCCAATGGAGTAAATATTTCACTCCATAGCAGTGTTTTTACTCCACAAATTTTAGAGAGTACATTAGAATTTTTCCTTCATTAGAAGAAGAAGATGCGGTCGCTTATATATAGCTGGCTGCCGCGATTTTACTTACGAGTTCGGCGGCCATTTAGTGGCAGCACCAAACTTTATAAGCGCCTGGCCAAAGAATATCATTATTTAATTGAAAGATCTAAATTTTCAACTCGGTCCTCTAAAGATATAAATCAATTACAGCGTGAACGCCTTGATCACATGATAATTCAAGTGGCCACCTCCATCTGGGCCAGGTCCTAAAAATAAAAAGACGTTCACACTGTAATTAATTGAAAGATATTATTTCACACAATAATGTTTTTTCTATCAAATAATACGGGTTGTTTGAATAAAACAACAAAATTTTTTATTCAAAACAACGTTTCGCATAAGCATATGTTGTTTCAATGAAACAAATTTCAATCAAACAAATAGGAACACCAAATCCAAAGGAACCTTTCTCTCCGCAGTCAGAAACGACTCGTCGATCGTTGTCGAAACGAGTCGAGTTTCTGACTGGGCGCGGGATGAGCCCTCGTTCGAGTGCTACTTGAGAACCAGCTAACCGCCTGTCGGGAGACACGCAATAATCCCATCCGTGTTCTCCGTACGACAAACCGTCCGCGAACGTGTAACGCCTCTGCACCATTTTCCCGCGCATCCAAGTGGCGTCCATCCTTTGTCCACGCGGCCAGTGCACACTCCCGCGACCGTGAAGCACGCCGTCCCGGAATTCTCCCTCTAGCACGACGTCTGGCGGACGGGGATATAAGGTTTCGATCAGCGCGGAGTCGATCTCGCGCGAATCCAATATCTCCGATTCCGCGCTTAGAGAAGCGCCGGATATCGTAAAACAGCCGAAATTGACTAACCGTAAGGCGTGACGTATCTGCCGGCGCCCGTCATGTCGGTCGCGTCCCACGTTCCCTCGTACCTGCTTCCGGTGAGAAATCGGGTCTCCCGTAACATTTCTATCTCGCCCGCCTTTCCGTCGTCATTTTCCATCGTCACACGCCTCCCCGCGCCTGTAAGGCCGACTTTGATTTCAGTTTAATCGCCCGCGGTCGAGGTAATCGCGGTTCGATCGGGATCGCCCCCGGGGGGCGACCGCGATCGAGCTCCGGTCAACATGGGCGATCAACTCGACGCGAAGCCGCGCGCGGTGGACAGCATTGTCGAGTCTTTGTTGCTCGTCGCGTGGAGGTGGGGATTAAATTAGGGGCGGCGAGCGGCGCGGCTGCGAATTTTCTCGCCGAGTCGCAACGCGAGCGGCCGTTTAATTCCATCGGTCGAGTCGCCGCGATCGAGTTAATCGGAGCTCGCCCCGAGGAGCGCCCGGCTCTCCCCGTCTCTTCGTCGCCCGCTCGCGCCGCCTCGTACCACTCGGTGGACGAGGATTCACACGGTCGGGAATCGAATGTGGGGAACGAGAGACGTGCGAGCGCGCGCCTCGGTGTCTCGGCTTCTCCTCCCCGAGCGAGCCGAACCGGGACTCGGTTCATCCTTACAGGATGGCCTCGTTGCCTGGTATTCCGGATGATCTCGGTCGACTCGGTATAGTCGCCTCTCGGGGACACGGACGGCGTGCAAACGGCGCGCAAACGGGGCGGGAGGGGTGGGGAGGGGGGGAAGGGACGCATCGTCACGCGCGTGTGTCGAATTCGCCGGCGGCGATAGACGCCGCGCGAGTTCTCTCTCTTTTCTTTTCTTTTTTTCCCTTTCTCCTCCTCCTCCCTCTTTGGCATCCCGCGCGCGTAACTAAATCAGATTTCGGAGGCGACGCGCGAACGCGGACGCCCCGTCGTGTGTATATACGTATTCGCGACACGACTGCGGGTACAAAGGAGGCGAGGAGAGGACCGTTATGTCTCTCGCGTTAATATTTCTACGAGGGGAAGAGAGAGAGAGACGGCGGTCTCTCTATACCGTGCCGCGCGTGCACTACTGTTATGTGTAGTGCACGAAAAGTGGTACATTCTGGTATCGCTATGGCGGCGTGTCGGGGAATCGTAATCCTCGGGTTTTCGCGCCGCGCGAGACGCGCGCCGTCCACGGGGCTCTCGTCTCTTCGATTAATTAACGATTGAGAAATGACTCGACGCCGATCGATGGCGTCGAGGCGATATGTCGTTGATTCGACGAGCCATTTCGCGCGCCGCGCTCCCCGCGATCCGATTTTGCCCGCGAGTTTGCGCGATCGCGCACGCAGAGCCCGGGGTAAACGCTCGCCCTCGCGCCTCTCGCGATCGACGGCCCCGGCCGCCCGCGCCGCCGCACGTGACGGCCGATTTTGTTCGCCGCGTTCGGAGAAGACGGCGGCGTTGCACCAGCCGCCTCAGGACGATGCTCCCTTCGGAGCAACGATTCCAGAGCTACGTAATCTGGAATGTCGTGTTAGCTCAGCCGAGCGTGACACCTCCGCCATACGCCGGGGAATCTCTCACGCACCTGAGAATTTCTCGTAGGTGCACCGGCGAACTCGCGTTTCTTTTTCCTTCTCCTCCTCTCCTCCTCCTCCTCCTCCCCCTTCCACCCGATCGTTATCGCGTGCCCGCCGAGGGGAGAGATTCCCCGCGTTCGGAATTGCCGCGGCGCGAGAATCCCAACGTTCGGGCTTCCCGCCGGTGAATCGGGAGCGAGATTTCGGGACGCGAGGAGCGGCGGCGACGGCGGCGACGACGCCGATCCACCTGCCTGCGAATTCGACCGCGATGGTCGCGCGCGCGCGCCCGGGGAAGGGGGAGGCGCGACACGTGAGATCGGTGAGGTCGAGGAAAATAGGTCGGATCTGCGGAGTCGTGAGTTACCGGCGCTCGTTCTCGCGTTCCCCTTTCCCGCTCGCCGTTTCCCCCCGGGGTTTGACGGCAGAGAAAGAGAGAGGGGGAGCTTCCCTCCTCCCGTCCGACGTCAAATTTGTCGATAGGTAAACCGTTGGATAAACCTTAATCCGGCGCGGCCTGGCGCGGTACCGTTGTCTTGGTAAACAGTGGGTTACGGATGGACAGTCGTACAAGTGGGACGGCTGTTTATTAACCCGCGCGTGTTCGACGTTCACAGAAAACCCGGGGCAGACGCGGAGAGTCCGCGCGAAAGAGCGAGGAAACGGGTTTCTCGCGAGCCCGTCCGTCTCCGCGGCGCGGCGGCGCGATCGAGCCCTAAATCCGCCGCTTTTCGCGGACCGGCGAGCGGGGGACTCGCCCGGGGTAAGAGGAGCGCGCGATCGTCGACGACCTCTGCCCCGTTTCGGCGGATGAACGGGAGCGACGCGACGACGCCCCGACGGGGCGGACGTGCCCGAAATTCATTCCGGCGAGCCGCCGCCGAATGGCGACTGATTCCGCTTATGAATGAGTCGCGCGCGACCGCCAGAGAGCGAGAGAGACGCAGCGAGAATGATTCGTCGAATCGGCATCGACGCTGCCAAATTCGACGTCGATCGACGAGTCATTTCTCGCTGGGGGAGAGAGAGAGATAGAGGGTGGGAGGAGAGAGAGAGAGATTTCCTCCGAAATCCGTTTTCGCGACGGTCTCCGACGGCTCGACCCCCGCGCGGCCCGCCGGCGGTTCTCTCGCAATTTCATACGTCACGTATACTCATTCGGTCGATGTACCGTTAATCGGCGTGAATCGTCGGCCTGGCTTACGCGCTGGCGTACGTTTGTCGTTTGAGAAAAATGATTCGCGGGTGCCCTCTTGCCCCGCCGTGCGCGGGCTCCGCGGCCGCGCGGATCCGCGGACGAGGGTCGACCGTAGGCGGGGAAGCCCCCGCGGGCAGGCCCCGAGGAAAAATCCAATCCCGCGGCGTAAGATCGCTCCAACGTGCTTCTAATTGGCCATTGTACCCCTCGCGCGGCGGCTCGCCAGGCGCGCTCGGCGGAAAGAATGCCGTGCGTACGTGCACGCGCGGTCACCTGTTTCCGCGTAATCCGCTCCTATCCGTCCACCCGTCGGCGACGGTCTCTCTCCCGCGAGAGAGGCGAGAGGCGGCGAGAGAGGCCGGCCAGGGAGTCCTTTCTCCGTCTTACCCTCCAGGAGCCCAGGTCTCCCCCTCCTCCTGATCTCCTCTGCCTCTTGTTCCGCTGCGCTCGTACCAGCCAAGGATCCTACCTTGCAGTACGTGTTTATCCAGGGTACAAGACGGCAGAAGAAGCGGAGCGGACGAGCGGCGTAGGAAGAGAGCCGCCCCGGAGTCGTGTCAGGCGTGAGCGCGGAGCGGAGCGAGAAAGGGCCCTGCGGAAAAGAAAAGGGAGGAGTTTCGCGGAACGTGCTCCGTAATCATCGCCGAGGTCGCTACACCGCCCGAGTCTGACAGCAAGGTCGACCGCAAAATAGTCTCAACTGCTAAACGTCCTTGATCCCTTAACGAAGAAGGGAACGAGGGGAGAGGGACAGAGAGAGAGAGAGAGAGAGAGAGAGAGAGAGAGAGAGAGAGAGAAAGAGAGAGAGAAAGAGAAGACGGACGCGAAGGAGCAGAGAAAAGGGGAAAAGGGACAGACCAGCACGCGCGCGCGCGCGCGTCTCGCGCGACGGACACCGCCAGATACTCGCCGGAGCGTCCGGCCCTTTTTTTCCCCCTTTTTGCCGCGAGTTCGCTGCTCGTCCCCGCGTCTGTCCGTCCCGGACTTAATCACCGAGTTATCGAGGTGGATCGCGCCTTCTCGCCACGGGATTAAATGACATTTCCAGGGAGTCTGCCTTCGCTTGCAAAGTGTGAGTGCAAATTGCGCGACAACCTGTCGACTTTTACGCGTATTTCGGGATCATCCGCGAGTTCCGCGAGAGGGAGGGAAAGAGAGAGAGGAGAGAGAGAGAAAGAGATCCCTACGGGGGACCGTCGCGCGCTCGAACGCTCGATCGCGCGCGCGCGCGCGCGACGGTCATCCCCTACGTTTAGGCGCGACGCGAGGCGCCGGAGGATAATTGGGCGACGTAAAACCGGTTACCGATATGTAACAACAACCAGCAAGAAATTGTAAGGTTCGCCGACCTATCTCTCGTTCCTTCCCTCGCGTCTTCTCTTTTTCCTCTCGCGCTGTCGCGTCGCGTTATTCGGCTAGCTCGTCTACGCGGTCACGGCTCCTGGTAACCGCGCAAAAAACGCCTCATTTCCTTTGGATTTGTTCGTCTCTTTCTCTCTCTCTCTCTCTCTCTCTTGACGATTCGCCTTTCGACTCGTTCGGTCCCGTCCCGCCTCGTAGGCTCTGACAAGAGCACTTGCAGACATCAACGCGGACAAATACTATAGAGAAATAGTCCCGGAAACGCGAGCGACGCGCGCGGGTGCAACCCTCAACCTCGGAATGCCTTATCCGTTTTTCAGAGAACCGAGACTAATCATGTTGTCGCAGCGATTGCGCTGGCTACTGCCGGCACTAATCGTGTCCTGGATGAGTCTGCAGTTAGGCGCGGCTCTACCGGCTCGCAACGGACCCTCGCACGTGTCAGCGAACACGTTTGATCCTAGGTCAGTATCACGCGGCAGTTCCCTATGAAGCCTTTGCGCGCGCGCGTGCACGTTAAGCATGTACCATGGAGATTTGTACGGATTTAGAACAGCGCGGCGTAACAATGCGACACGTAATCAGCGCGCGCGGTTCCATTAACGCGGACAGGTCGGCGGCATGAGATAACGCGAGAACAGTAGATCCAGATAGAGATCGCGCCTCGCCTGGGAAAGACGAGACAAGGCGGAGAATGCGGAAGAGGCGCGAAGGATGGAAAAACACGGTCGGGTCTTTCCATTCGTGTTACCGCGCGGCTTAGTTCCCCGGCGCTGCCAGACGGTCCCCGGGGTCTTAACGAGCGTGCTAATTACGGAAACTGTGTGCCTTCCTAATAGCGTAATGATTGTGATATAATAATAATTGTACGCTTCCCATCGGTTGGACCGTACGTTACGCCGTCGCTGCCGTAACTCTCGATCGGGCTTTTAAATTCCGAGACGAGCTCGTCGAGACGAGCGAACACACGGGAGGCTCTTCTCCACGTGAGAAACGAACGAGTGCCGCCGGTCCGCGCCGTTACGTCCCAATGTTACGCGAGTACGATTTACGTTTATTCCCGGATCGAGACCTGACGCCAAGTGGCCCCAACCAGGGGACCGCGACGTTACATTCTAAACGCGCGCCTTCGTACGTTTTACAGCGCGGCCACTCGGACGATCGCCCGCCAGGACCACGATGGACGCGCGCATCGTCCTCCGAACGGCAAAAACGAGACGCAGTCCAGCCACAAACTGGTCGCTTCCCCGGCCGGACTTTTGCGGCCCGACAAGTTTCAGTTTTATACTTACGACGACAAGGGCGATATGATTACGCGGCAGATGACCGCTCAGGAAATTCAAGGTCTCATCGCGGCAGGTGGGGCGGATCACGTCACGATGGACAGGCAGGAGCCTCAAAAAGCCGACGACGTCCTGACGGGCGGCAAGAAGGTCGGTGCACCGTCGCTTGTTTCGCGTCTTTTGTCCCCCCCCCCCTCCCCCCGTCTCTCGTAACCAGGGAGGCTCGACTCTTGAAATCGTCCGACAGCGCGAGAAACGCACGCGAAGATTCCGCTCCGACGGAAGAGTGGAAAGTCAATTGGGTTAAAAGCCGCGCGAGTAGCCAATCGACTCGCAACTTTTCTGTAAGAACCGAACATTCGCGTAACGTTTCTTCTCCGAATGAATTCAAGAATCGAGAACCCCAGGACACCTACCGTGGAAATGCTCGGAATCGTTCGAGTGTTTCCTAGATCTCCATTGTGTTTTCTAAGGGAAACGGCATAATCTCGAACGTCTCCACACGATAGCTATCCAGAGCGCGGCATCTTTTTTTTTACGATACTGCAGATATGCCATATCTCTATCCGTAACTTTCTCCGGAAAAATACCTCGGCGCATCTTGTATCTATATCTAAATCGAAGGAACGCAAGTAACGCGTCTCTTCGCCGGATCCATTGAAAATTTATCTTATCTGTATCTGTATCCTTGATAGAAAAATGTCAGGATACGAAGCTCTGCTCGTAACCACGATAGATAACTATTAGCGCGGCTAATGTGGGATACCATTTGTCGTTGCTGAAGATGAATGGGAGGAAATGACGAAATCGACCGAAAGTTATCTAAAAACGTGAATTAAATAATAGCTTTTGTAATAAATCGTTAAGTAATCCTAAGGCGGTATGTAGCAAACTGAGATACTGGAGCCAGACTCTGGATCCAACGTCGGTCGTACAGATTTCTAAAAACATAATATTTAGACGCAGGAACGAAGCGGGAAGGTGCGAGGTATGGGAGCTAACGGGGCTGTCGCGCCTCTTCGTTTACGGATTTAACACATTCCGTCCGTCGCATTTTAGGTCATGGATGTGGTACAGAAGGTACAGAACGTGCTGAAGAGCGCACTCGATAAGCCACCGACCTTAACGGGCACGATACCGAAGATCCCGGAGCACGCCAACGTCGAGTGGAGCAACATCCTACCTTCGATTCTGTCCGGCGAGACGGACGCGATCTCCCCGAGCGGCGAGCCCAGTCAATTCTCGCACAAGACCACGGCGGACAAGGTGCAGGTTGAATCGACGTCGAAACACCCGGTGAAAAAACCGGCGACGCCGGACATTCAGACGAACGCGTACGCCGGCTTCACCAATAACGTGCCGGGGAAACCTCAGCACGGCCATCACCCGCAGCAGACCGAGAAACCGATGATCCCGGTCCCAGTGATCACCCTGATGGAACAGAAGCTGTCCACGTTGCAATCCGCAGTCACCGAAAGCCCCGACTTCCAGATAGTCAGCATGATTCCGGTCGAGAGTGTCGGGATCAAGGGGGGCCAGGCCGACTCGTCTACGACCGGTGGCAGTGCCGCGAATTCGGCGACCACCCAGCTCCCTGGTCAGACCGAGGCGGGTCAGACGACGGAACAGTACGTCGAATTAGCATTGTCGGAAGCGCCCGAGGACGCGACATTCCCGCAGCTCACGACCTTGGACGTGCACCCTGCGGACGTAACGAAGCAGACGACTACGAGCAACAAGGTGGGTCAAGGGACGGAAGCCTCGGCGACCTACTCGATGACCACGCCGGGCGCGTCGACACATTCCTCCGCCACGAAGGAGACCGCAACGCACGGCGGGTCCAGCGAGCTGGCGAGCGCGACCGACAAGATCTCTCCCTCGAACGCGAGTTACGTCCTCGTGCAGAGTAAGAACAGCACGAAGGTATCTGGCGATTGGTCGCTCGCGTCTGCCGTTACGAAAGGATCTCAGGCGCACGACGACGATAAGACGATCCCGCAAAGCAATACCCTCGCCTCCCCGACATCGATTTCCCACGCGTCTCCGAGACCCGTGGAGGCGTCTAAGGATACCACGCCGCACTCGCCGTCCACGCTCGCTTCCGTCACGAGAATCAAGGCCCCGACAGTCCCGGCGCCCTTGCACACGTTCACCTCGGGCCATTATCTCGGCGAGGGCCTCTCCGCGCTTACGAAAGAGCCGCCGAGCCCGGTCACACCGACGTACGGGACGAGCTATCATAATCCTCTGCCGACCGACATTCAATCCTCGCCGCCGCTAGAACCGTTACCCACGCAGCTAATCGATTCCTTCTCCAGCGTGATAAATCAAGTTTCGGAAGTGAAACCGCCTGTCTTGCCCCTGTCGTCCCCGACGAACGCAAGGCCGCAGCAGGTACCGATCGGGAACGGTAATTACGATCAGAGGCGCAACGTGTCCGAGATGTTCCACGGCGCGGGCCACGAGAACGTCAGGCCGATCATTAATGCGCAAACCTACGTGGCCGTTACCACGGAAATCCCGCCGCGGGACACAACTCCCGAACTCGTTGACTATTCCGTGAATTATCGGCCGCTCAGCGGGGAATCGAGCGGCGTTTCCTCGAGCTCCCGGATCACGGCGACGACGGTCCCAGCTAGGATCGGAGCGACGAATAACAGAGTGGCGAGCAATAATTTAGCCACGACGCCAGCGGGGCTCAAGTCGACCAGCGCGACGATTTCGGGATTAACGGGATCAACACCCTCGTTCGTGCAGCTTCAACTCGAGAAGACGCACGCTACGGCCGCGGCTCCGCCGGCCTTGGCGAGTCAGGCCGAGAGCTCGGCGACACCCGAGTACGAAAGGATCTCCACGTCAACGGCGCCCGTGGCAGTCAAGACGCAGTCGGCTGCCACGCCGATCGACGCGGGTCCTTCTTCGAATAAGCCCACGACGACCAACGAATATTTCGACAACACCCTCGCGAGCTTGAACCTGAGCGATCCGGTGTCCGCGATCGATCAAGTATTGAGCATCGCGCCGCTGCCGTTCAGCATCCCCGCGATCGAGCCGATCGGTTTGCCCATTAACGCACCGAATCTCGTAGCTAGCGGTTTGGCGAGCGGCCTCATCGCCGGATTTACAACGGGCACGCTGGGCGTGTCGACGGAGAAAATTAACAGCGATCAAACGGTTAAGAACGTGTCGGACGAGCACGTGAAGCTCGTCCAAGAATCCGTCGAGAATGTGACTAAACCGCACGCGGTGACCGCGGGACCGAATCCAACCGATCAGAGGGAAAGAAACGTTACGCAATCGACGCAGGAGACACTAACGGACCCGGTTCGAAACGGTACATTAATTTACGGCGCGCTAACGCGGACGAAGGAGTCGAATAAGACCTTGGACCCAGGTAAATTGTCGAATAGCGATGAGAGAATCGACGATTCTACGAAGGCGTCTTTATCGTCCCCGGCGAACAAGTTGGCGAACGATGAATCGAAGGACAGCGCTGGGCAGAGCGCAACGACCGTGGGAATCGTTACCGTAAAACCTGAGCAGACGACAGCGACGGGCGTATTCGGTACTCGGTCGCCAAGCGTCAACAAAACGACGAGCAACAACCAGAAGAAAACGGAGAGCAAGGAGAGGATAAAAACGACGGAAGCGCCCGTTGTGAGGACAGATTTGAGTCCAGAGTTGTCTCAGTCGTCCGTGAAAGTCGCGAATGATACCAGAAACTCGGGACACGCGGAGAGCGGCTCGAAAATCGAGGCGTTGGGCGAAAAGCACTCGCCCGTGAACGTTTCATCAATGACGACCGTGACGATTCACTCCGTCACCGATTCTACCCCGGAGTCGTACAGCTCACACGTATACAGCAACTTCACAGCGGATACCTCCACTTCGGACGCTGTCGGGCCGAAGAAAAATTCTACCGAGCCTACACTTTTGCAGTATCCAAGTCGCGTCACCAGCACGGTTGGCTACAAAGACGACACGCAGAATAAAAAAGATGATAACAACAACGACTCTTCTCCCCCATCGGTCCAAGAATATACCGATAGCTCGATCAAGGTCGTCACGCAAGAGTGGACGGGCAACGCAAGTGGGAACAAGAGCGATACTTTACGGCCTGGCGGCTCTGCCGATAGTACGGCAAATCAGAATGTAGAGCAGACGGTCAATGCCGGGCATTCGAATAATAGTACGGAGAGCAAGATCGCGTCTTCGAAACATTCCGAGAGTACGCCGAAGCCGGACGCGACACGCCTGCAAGCGTCGACGCCGCCGTCGAGTGTTCCGGTCCGCCAGACGAAGCCCACGGCCGGTCACAGGCCGTCGGAGAAGTCCGACGTTACGAAGACCGATGCGGATGTAACTGCCGAGGACAAGTGGACGCTCATATCCCATCAACAGGTCCCATCGGTCATGTCGAAGCTCCCGAAGCCGCCGAAGCCACCGAAGCCGCTGAGGAAACCAGCCAATCACGCCCAGGCGCCGTCGTCGTCGTTGCCACCCTCCAACCTGAATGACAGCGCCCACGTTCGTTCTCCAGGAGCCGAAGCGGCGGCGCAGCAGCAAGATCAGCAGCAGTCCTCGACGCAGTCCTTCCTACCGCTGGACGCGTCTCAGAGCGCGATCGGCTTGGACATCACTACGAGACACACGAGCGCCGACATCGTAAACTTCGCCAAGCTGTGCAACGAGTTGGCCTTCAATTTCTGGGTGGCCACCAACAAAGGTCTGAGCACCGCGAGATCGCTGGCGTTATCGCCGTTCGGCATGACCAGCTTACTGGCGATGATCTTCCTGGGCGCTCGCGGCCCGACGTCCGACCAGATGAACGAGGTGCTCGGTCTGGACGACGTGGCCACGTTCAATCCGCACCTGGTCTTCCAGAACATTACCGATGCGGTGGGTCTGGCCCGCGGCCAGGGCATCGCGAACGCCGCCTTCGTCCGCGAGCTGTTCGCCGATAAGATGAAGGTCAGGAAACTCATGCCCTTCTACAAGGAGCAGGCGCAGCAATTCTACGAGGGCCTCGTGACCGAGGTGAATTTCGCCACCATCAGCGATCTCGTGCGCAGGAGAACGAATCTGCTGGTCAGGAAGCAGACCGGCGGCAGGATCAAAGATTTTGTCAAGACGAACACGGTGCCGCTCAGATCACCTTTGGCCGCGCTCTCCGCCAACGTGTTCCAGACCGATTGCAACAACAGTCTGACCAGTTCAGCCGGCAGGGACGGCGAGCTGTACTTTGCCGTCTCGCCGGCTGTCAGGCAAAGGAAGCTCGTACCGGTCCCGGCTACCACCTGGCGATCAGGTGTCTTGGCCGGCTACGAGCCCAACATCGACGCTACGGCGGTCGCGATCGGCGGCAGCGACAAATTGGTTTCGACCATCTTCGTATTGCCGGGTCAGCAGGGCCACACGGCGCCCGGCGACACCCTGGACCGTCTCGAGCAGCGCCTCGTCAGAAGCGCGTTCCGCGACGGAGCCTGGAACAAGCTCCTCAAGGTTCTGATACCGAGGCACGGTCTCGAGCTGCAGGTGCCCAAGTTCAGTCACAGGTCCGTCGTTAACGCGACCGCCGCCTTGAAGAGGATGGGCCTCGACGAGCTCTTCTCGGGTAACGCCGACTTTAAGGGTATCAACGGCGTGGGTCACCGTCTACACTTGGCCGACGTGTTACAGGTAGATACATCCATCCGCTCGGCACGCTCGATGTGCGCGACAACGTTTCACTTACAATTGTACATTTTCTTTGCAGATGAATCTATTCAGCACTTGTGGCGACGAGAATATTCTTAGCGGCCGACATCACGTGGAAACGTATCCCGCGAGTCCGTTGAGAAGAAACGTTGGACGACGAATGGAGGACGAGAATTCCGGTAACGTCGCTGAGGATGACACCTCGAGATACCGCGTCTTGTCGCAAGCGGACAATGGCGATTCTTACGCGGACCAATCGCGCACGGATCGGTACGGATTCTACAGGGAGGAGAGGCAGCTCTCCGCATCGCTGGAGAGACCGAGATTCAAGCTCGACAGGCCCTTCTTATATTTCGTCCGGCACAATCCCTCCGGTATAATACTTCACATGGGACGTTTCAATCCGCGATTGCTGCCCTAAACAAAGGCTCGCTATCCTCCACCGAATGCCATTAATTCGATCCTGTTCCTTCTATTCGACATCCACGAATTCTTGTACGATCGAGGAAAACAACCGGCCTCTCGACGCAATTGCTCAAACGACTCGTTCTCTATTAGTCGGGAGATACAGCGCGACACGGTATCGCGGCTCACTCTTTTTGAATAACGAAGGTAGGACGTGTGCTTGGCATGTTCTAGAAAATTTGTAAACAATTTTGCCTAGAGTTTATTACGTATTAGTCTCTTCATCGTCTTCACCTAGAGATAAGTAATTAGCACGGTATCGTTCGCGGCACGTTAATACATGTCAAACGGACCCACGGCATTGACATGGATCTTATCACTTTATGGTATATTTAGGGAGTGGTTAAACGCATAAAAATAACAGACTGAAGAACGGAAAAAAGAAAGACGCTACGAAGGAGGAAGATCTTAATCGCGGTCCAAATGATCATAATTTTTATTTTTATTATTATTATTATTATTATTAGTGTTGTACTTGTCTTTTCATGTACGAGCAAAATGTGACGATTAGCGCGATCGCCAGCGAATGTCAAACGCAAACTTTGAGTGTCAATAATCTATTTGGACCCTGATTGACATACGCATTCTTTTTAACACGACCAACAATTGTGATACTGAGCGTTGAATTTTTTGTACATTTCGTAGAATTAATCTGCTAGGATTACGCGTTCAGTCCACACGCACGTGCGTTGTACACGAAAAATATTTCACTGTGTATTCTCTCTCAACGAGGACTTGATGTCGAACGGATGACGCGCTGAATAAAAGCAACATCTCTCGTTCGTTCTGCCGTTTTCAAAAGCAAATTCCACGCTGGCTCTTTGGGCATTACCGTACTTGTGAACACAAGATAAGGAGACTGCGCTACGCGCTGATATCGCGCAACCTACCATAAATAATTGTACGCGAACTTCTTTCCCTATACAGAACAATTCCGAAGCAGCGACCGACATTCATATCGGCATTGTAAAATATATCACAATGTAGAATATATAACAAATAGCGAAAATTACATTGTACCTGCTGCCTATACATTTCAGTCGACGCGATCTTGACGAAACGTATGACTCGCAGACACGTCACGACATTACGTCATTATATATACATATATATATGCATCCGTAACATCATCGAATCAATAAGCTCCGTCGCAAAGGGAAACTTTTTCACATTGTAGACTAATTATGCATATCATCGTCGTTATCTGCGCCAAAATGGTGCGCGTCACTGCGAGGTGATAACTGCACTCAGCGGCAGTGAGGGGAGGTCTTTAGTCGCTTATCTCGTGGTTATCGGGAAGTCGTCGTAAAGGTTGAAGCTTATTGTCTTTCAGTTTGCAACGCGACCGACTAAACTGCGCTCGGGACTGCCTGAACAACACCACTCGGAGTTCCTCACGTCCTTCGGTACGACGCGTCGGGCGATCGTTGCGAACAGCATCGAAAGTGGTTTTAAACGTATCGATCGGCGTACGAGGTAGCAAATATTTCCCGCCGCTGTGTTGACTCTTATACTCGTCCGCCTTGATTGATCCTAATCCGTTAAAATCATTTTCCAGTATCTCTTATCGCTCGCAGGCGGCCGGTTCGCCAGTTTGCGCGCGTTGTGCAACCCGCAAGAATTTTGATGCGTCAACCACTTGGATTTCTCATCGGCTGCTCGTACCTTGTTCCGACGGGACGAATCGAGCGTCGGCAGAAGCGTCTGGTTAAACGATGGGTTGACACGAGTTCAGACACTTCCGTTTGCGCTCAGGTGTCCCCCTTACGCAACGTTCGCGCGACGTAGAACAATGTGAACACCTTGCGTCGCACGATAACGCCATGCTTGACGAATCGGTAGGCTCGGCGCACGAAAATTCGATCGCACCGTCGACTCGTTTCGGCCCCAATGTAATCGCGTCCTAAAAATGTATCCGTGTCAAGAAGATACGGACGAGGTGTGAAAAGCGGCGCTTCGTTACGTCTATCACAGCTCGAAGATCGTTTATCGCCGCAAATAAGTGGTACACACTTGCGATAAGCCGGTAGATCAATAACGACCGCGAGGAAGGAAAATCCGTCTCTCCGACTGGTCTCGTATCCAGGATGTTTTTTCCGACCTCGTTGGTACGTACACCGCCTCGCTGACAATTAATACCCGCCCGGCGGATTATCGATAATGTAATTCGACACGATCATATTGCGCTCCTGATCGACGGCGATTATCAGCGCTCGCTCGCCCGATCGCTATCGACGTCTTGGACTCTTTGTTTAAATGCCGCGCATTATTAGGCGCCGCTACGGAGAGCCGCAGAGCGGCGTAACGTCGAGAGAGTAAAGCCAGACGGGTCCTGAAACACACGAGCACGCGTTTCGTCCTAGACGGGGTAAATTCGCGCGGCTGGGAAGGTATATTACCTATAATGCGAATTATTCAGGATGCGGATTGCTCCGGCCGCATGCTGGCTACTATCCTGGTCGCGTGGGTCACGACGGCGATGATAGCCTCGATATTGCTGCAGTGGGAGCACATGTGGATCGTTCTGGTAATATTGACGCTACTCTTCTTTCTGGTTTGCGGGTACACCGTCTACACCGTGAAGAGAACCCACGCGAGGATCCTGCTCGAGCAGCAGAGAGCGGCGATCCGGACCATCTCGGACATCACTGCAAATCGCAGACAGGTACTTCCCCCAGTGAGAAATGACTCGACACCGTTTCGACATCAGTCGACGAGTCAGTTTTCTCACCGGCATGATACCGCGCGGATTTCTCTTTCCGCAGCAAATTGTACGCGGAGAAAAATATTACGGTTATAAATTGAATGTGGGAAAAAGTGTTACGATTTCTCTACGTTGCAAAAGGTTGAAATTGAAGTTGTATTTATCACTGTGCAAATTGACGCTGTCAATTTTATCTGGACTAGAATGAGCGTTTAAGCGGAAAGACCGGAAATTGCGTCAAATCGAGATACGACCTTGCAAAAGAGATCAGCCGTTGTGTATGTATTTTTACCATTGCTGCGTGTATATGGAGTATATGTCTATTGCTGCATTTATGACAACTGCGTGTTTTTACTAATGCACAATTTGTAAGAGCCATGTTAGCGTCTAAAGATGTGAGAGCTTGCCCCTAGCACAATATATTGGCGCAATATTGGAAAATAATGTAAATCTAGTATTCCCAATATTGATCCAACGAGATGAACGCCTCCTCTTACTTAGCCAATATGTCTATTTAGCGATATTGGTTTAATATTCTATCAATATTGGACCAATATTAATTGTGATTACATTGTTAAATAATGGCCAATGCACTTTCAATGTAAATCTAATATTATATAATTATTATCGTGCAATATTTACATTTATAACCAACATGTGACCAATATTCCACCCTGGTAGCACAGTGCATTGAACAAAGATTGGTTAAACATGGGCCCAATATTTGGTTGTCTTGAGCCAACGTTTAGCCAATGCACTGTGCTACTCGGGCAATGAGAAATGATTCGTCGATCGATGTCAAAACGATGTTGAATCGACATCAATTTAAAGGTGTCGATATCAATTTCAAATCATTTCTCACTGATGCTTACCGAATGTTTAGCCAATGTTTAGCCAATACACTGTGTTACTGGGGGCAGTATATTTCCCTAGTAGCACAGTGCATGGACCAAACATTGGTCAAACATTGGCCCAATATTTGATTGTATTGGGCAAATGTTTGGCCTATGCACCGTGCTACTAGGGTTTGCAACGCCTACGCTGTAATTGATCAAGTTTTAATTTTCGCCGTAATATTCTTCTTGTGCGCGTACATTTTACTCGTACACAGCATGCAACATCTCGAGGAACAAAAGGAGCTAAATTCGTGTCCCTATGTATTCCTTTGCAGACGGGACCGCTGACGTTCGCGATACGGTCGACTCCAGATTTACCGCCGTCTTACGCGTCCGTGATGACCGTTCAAGGAACGTCGGCACCTCCTCGAGTACCCGCCGAGTCACACGAGGACAAATTCGAGGATCCTCCGCCGTATTCCATCGTGATCGCTTCTATAAATATGCAAGAGCGAAACGCGGAAGTCTCGAGTGAACAGCACGTGCCACGCGCCGGGCCCGCGAAGAAAAACGACACCGTCGCTTCTGCCACTTCCGGCCTCGCCTCCGCGACCCCGCATCCAACATGATTTGCAGCTAATTAATTTGCTCCCACAGAAGACGCAGACGGAGACTGAAAAGTGCCAAATCATCCGAAAGATGTGCAAACGAGTGGATGCTGATCGCTCACGATTGGAATCTTTCGTCCGTGAAAGCGATTGTTATCTTCAAGATATCATCAACGAGAAGAGCTCCGGCGGAGGAAAGTGACTGACCAGAATTCGCATGCTCGACCAAAAACGCTAAACGAAGTTTATCGTCAACGAAAGAGTCACGGCGTCTGTTTCGTTATAACAATTTTTAGATTCTTGTAATCACGGTAATTTCCTCGCAATACAAAAAAATCTTTAATTTCCATTTCCCTTCTCATGTTCGCCCTTGGCAAGCGGATTTTCTACAGCGTTTTATGCATTTGTAATTTTTATAGCAATCGCCAAAGTAAAGACTGAGACCGAGTTGTAGCAACAGTTGATCCTTTTTCAGTATTGCTCGTAATATCCCAGCGAGAAATGGCTCGTCGATTGATGTCGAGACGATATCGACACCGTCAAATTGATGTCGAATTTGGCAGTGTCGAATCGACATCGTTTTGACGAATTATTTTTCACCCACAGCGTGAAATGATTCGTCGATCGATGTCGAACCGATGACGAATCGACGTCGAATTTGACAGTGTCGGTCCAACATCGTTTCGACGAATCATTTCTCAGAGATTTGAAGAAACCCAGGCATCTTCAGTCATCTTCTAACAAGATGTTGTTAAGATTTTACTAAAAGATGTCTTCAAGACTTTCTGACAACCCAGGTCCCATAGATATTATTATATATAGAAATTCACGCACGCGGCGAATTTTTATGCAAAGTGGGCGTTACAGTTTCCGCCGAGAATAATGTCTATCGCTCTCCTTCCTGTACAATGTCTATACAACATAGCGAAATAGACAGTACAACTGTCGCAAGAATGCAGTTTAATTCTACATGCGATATGGAAATAATAAATTAATCAAATCAAATTTTATTTCGGCGAAGGATTTCAATGGTATAATCTCAATCTATTGTATTTTCATTATGTCGCCAAATAAAGTTCCATTTGACATAAGTGGACGTGGAAAGACCCTTTACCACCTCTGCCGATTCTTTCTTTCAATGAATTACATTTATTATTTCCCTAGTAGCACAATATATTGACGCAATATTAGGAAATAATGTAAATCTAGTATTCCCAATACTGATCCAATATTGTAAGATGGACGTCTTCTCTTATTTAGTCAATATGTCTATTTAGCAATATACCTTATATACA